CAATTTGCTTCAGCACAAACTGAAGACCTTACTGAAGCATTCCTATAGTTCAGCAAAAAACAGATGTGGCGAGATTGATGGCTGAATTGTGCATGCAAGCAATTTTAAAACCATATGGGGTAGACTAAGATTTATGGTGCCCCAAACCCCCAACCTTATCCAATTAACTTCTCAAAACATCATGCACAACAGACTTAGCAACCCCAAAGAACAAGTAAGGTCCCTTTCACACAAGCGGATCGATGGGGTCCACCTGTCAGTTTTTCAGGCAGACCCAATCCGTCCATCCATAGACTTCTATGGACTGGTGGGTGTCGGTGGACAATAGTCTGATCCGATCCTGTATGCCAAAAATAGACAGATGGGGATCTGTTCCCCATCTGTCCAGTGGATAGGATTGGATGACAATCAGATGGAAACGGCGGTCCCATTGAAATCAGTGGACAGTGTCTGCTCTGCAGCAGCAGAGAGAACAGAGACCTGTCATCCACCTGCTCAGCAGGGATCAGCAGAGAGATCCACCACTGAGCAGGTGGATCATGATGACGGATCCACCCTGTCTGAAAGGGGCTGAAGCCTTAACTAAATGACAAATTTGCTAAAGCACTGTGTAGCATAAGCAAATGCATTTTTTTCCTTCATAAAAATACATATATTCAAGGCTTCTCTTTCACATGTACTTGTATATTTTGATCTTAACAGGAAGCTCATGATCAGTAGCTGGGAAACCATGAATATTGGGCTTCATGCACACTGGGTATTTGATTTTTTCCACTGAAAGCTTTATTTCTCCTGGCAAAAACTGCTTAAAAATGTGCCTAAATCTGCGTATTGCACACGTTTAGGTGCGTCAAGGGCAATGAGCATTAATGGATTCCATTGGCCTGAATATTAATCTATTCTAGCCATTGGAATGAACAAATGCTCAAGCGCTAAGCAAGATGCATAAAGCATTTTTTTCTGCTCAAAAGCTCCTCCCCTGAACACACTTTTTTTTTTCTCAGCCTGTAAACACCTATGTGCACATAGACACATAGACTAACAGAGATGCTGAAAATAGGGAGGAAAAAAAAAAATTAAATCTGAATAATCACATGTATTAATCATTTCCAAAAAAAAAAAAAGTTTCCAGAATGCAATTTTTTTTTTTTTAAATAATGGAAGAAATTGAGAACCCACACTAGTGCACAAACCATACAAAGTGTGCATATATGGAAGGAGCGCCTGACCAAAAGATAAGTGTCCAAACTCCCTTTCATCAGGGCTTCAGTTGAAAATGAGAACCTTGAATGGACTCAAAGAAAGGCTTTCCAGTTTGAATCTATGCAGTAGAGCAGATTGATGGAGTAGGATCCCTAACCAGCAGTATCTGCATCAGCAGTCAAAAGTGGAATAAAAACAAATAAGGTATTGGACCTTTATGCTGCCTTTGATACATTTGACAACCCCCACCTAACACAAAAAAAGGCATAACCTCTACTTCCTTGGTCTCAGTGACTATATCTTCGTTGATTCTCATCTTCCAACTCCACCTCCTCCTCAGAAAAGGAAAAAAAAAAAAAAAAAGATGTTGGCATCCCCCAAGGTTGTCTTTGGACCACACTTGTTCTAGATCTACACCTCCTCCCTGGGTCAGCTAATAGCCTTCAAACACCTTCCAATATAATTTCTATGCCGACGACACCCAAATCTATCTTTCTACCTCTCAGCTCACCCATCACTAAACAGACATATTAAAGTGGTAGTAAATTTAATAAATTTTACCTACAGGTAAGCTTACCTGTAGGTAAAATTAATATCTCCTACATGTGCACCGTTTAGGAGATATTAGCCTTTTTTTGATAGCCAGCACATGCGCTCTGAAGGAACGGCATACTCATGCCTTTCCTTCAGAGCACTGTGCCGTGGCCCGGGACTCCCACGCGCATGTGCAGGAGTGCCGCAAGTCAGCCCGACCAGAACTCGCGAACCTGGAAGGAAGACTAGGTAAAGATGGAAGCCCCGGGGAGCCACGATGGCGCTCCGCTGGAGGGGCTTTGTTTCAAGGTAAGGCCTTCATAATGTGATAGTATTCAATGCATACTAGCACATTATGCCTTTACCTTGCAGGGTTTATTTTTTCTTTTTTGGATGCAGTTTACTACCGCTTTAATATGTCAGAAAAACGTCCTCAAACAGAAACCTATACAACACTGAGGTTATAATATTCCCTCCTCGAAGTGCCCCTTCCCCCAGCTTCTCTGTCGAGACTTATGGCTCAATTATCAGTCTGTCCCTCCAGAGCACTAGGTTTAACCCTGCACTCTGAACTCTCCTTTCAGCCCCACATCCAACTGCTGTTCAAATCATGCTACCTCAACCTCCGCAAAAAAAAAAAAAAAAAAAAAAAAAATTACCCTTCTCAACCAACAACACCAAAAAGCTTCTAACTCATGTCCTGGTCATCTCTTGCATCAACTACTGCAACTCCATCCTCATTTGCTTACCTTTACATAGGGTATCCCCCCTTCAGTCCATTATGAAGGCTGCCGCCAGACTCATCCACCTTACCAACTGTTCAGTGTCTGCTACCCCTCTCTGCCAATCCCTCCATTGGCTTCTGCTCACCCAATAAATAAAATTGAAAATACTAACAACTTACAAATCCATCCACAACTACCCCCAGCTATATCACTAACCTTGTCACAAAATACCAACCAAACCATTCTCTTCCATTCTCACAAGACATCATCTGATCTCTAGCCACCTTGTCACCTCCATCCATGCTTGCCTTCAGGACTTCTCTGAAGCCTCTCCCATCTTCTGGAACTCCTAGCTGCATACTGGATCTGGCTTCTAACTAATAAACTGTCTTTTCTTTCTTCACCAGCTCATCACCCACAGTTATTACCTTTTGTATCACTTGACCCTCCCTCGTGGATTGTAAGTGCTAATGAGCAGGGCCCTCCGGTTCCTTTTTAATTGAACTGTATTCTTTCAGAATCTGTGAGTATCCAGCAAAGGTCATTATTTTAATGTCGAGGAGATGAGAGGGATGGTGGATGGTGATGCAGGTATCGAAGTGAAGGTGGTCATACATAGCTAAATTCGTCTATGGAGGTAGAATTTAAAAAAAAAAAAAAAAAAAAAACCCACACACTTTACTGCAGGGCAGTTGGTCAGTAGGGATTTAGTTATGGTTGGAAATGTCTCTGTAAACCTTGTTAAGAGGCTGATCATCAATAGAATGGATGGGCTACGATACACCCAACTGAAACATTTCTTCGAGAGTCTCCCGAAACCTTTGAGAACTAGGAAAGAGTGGAACCCATTTGAAAGATTGTTAGAAGCACGAGGTGATGGGAAACATGGAATTGCTAAAATATATAAAATATTCACTGACTTAGATACTAGCACAAAATCAATATACATAGAGAAATGGGAAAGAGATATGGGGAGGGAAATGGAGGAGGTAGAGCAAAGTAAAATGTTTAGATTAATCCATGAAAATATTAGTATGCGGGAAGTAGAATTAAATTATAAGTGTTTGGTAAGATGGCACATCACACCAAAAGTGGAGCACAGAATAAATGCGGAGATTTCACCATTGTGTTGGAGAGGGTGTGGAGAGGTGTGCACGTTGTATCATATATGGTGGGAGTGTTCAAGAATACAGGTGTTTTGGCAGAGAATAGTTTAGTAGGGAAGATTACTGAAATCAATATTAGATTAGATCCCGAGATATGTCTTCTTCATAATACAGAGCTTCCAGTGAAAATATACAAGGATGCGGGCTGTGGTATTATTTGAGTGCAGCGAAAAAGTCTGATACCTAGGTTTTGGGAGAAAAAAAAAAAAAAAAAAAAAAAAAAAAAAGGAAGTGCCGACAGAGGAGGATTGGATGGTTAAAGTGAATCAGATCTATGGGACAGAAAGATTGTACTATACACATATAGATAAGATGGAGATGTAGTATAGAAAATGGAAAAAAAATGGGAAGAGTACAGAGAAAAAGTGAAATATATGAAGATGTAATACCCCTTGAAATGAAAATTAGAAATATAGGAGGAAGAGAAGAGGAGGGAAAACGCAGAGTGTTGGGGGGAGGGGAAGTAGGATGGGAAGTGGGATTTAGAGAATATGTTAGAGGGAAGATATTGCATGGATATCCTTTTTTATTGCAAAAGGTGACTGTTATTTGTATGTGGTTACAAATGAATAAATATTTGTAACAAAAAAAAAAAAAAAAAAAAAAAAAAGGGGACGGCTGATCTTCAAATTCTAACCTAATGATTGAACTAGAATCATCACTGGAAACAACCTATTCACGAAAAGAACGTTTTCGGTCTAAGGAGCTGTGAAGATGGTTCAGTCGTTGTCCAACCTAGTATCTAATATGGTGAGAATATTGTAGTTCACTTTTTAAAAGACTTTCAAGGTTTCATTTTCACGCCAGTATATTATTTTTCATTTGAACAAATGGCAATAAATATCAGTTGACGATCTATGCAGCTCATATCAACAATTGTCTCAGACAAAGATAGGAAAATCTCCAGCATAATTTCCATGTTTAATCTGTAGCCAACAATTATCTTTGCAGACATGGGTAAAATAAGGTTGCCACCTGTTTTATTGGCAGGGCTTGTTGCCATCATTTCTAACAGGACAGACAGAGTAATAAAACAAACAAAAAACACTAAAGGACAGTGTACCCCCACAAAAATGGCAAGCCCAGGTACAAGCCTTGGCTCAACCATTATAAATATGTACAAATCAAGTGCATGCAAATTGAACAAACTCACCTGAGAATCCGATATAAAATTATCTTCTCGTAGTAACTATACAAAGTACATTCCTATTTTAATTGGAATTTTGTTTTGTCCATTTGCAATACAGAACAAAAACTGTATTTGGCACAAACAAGAAAGCTTCATTATCGCCTTGCCGTAAAAGAAGTCAAGTAAATGTTTGTAGGCTTTGTTCAGTTGTCAGTTTTCACATTAGTTACAGAGCTTGGCCAGTCACTGAGGTGGCTGGGAGCTGGGGTCCCTACCGTCTGCTTTGGCACAGTAGCTGGCAGCTGCCATCGGCTTTCTATGATCCCGGAGTGTGTGAGCGTTCAGCATCTCTAGCAGCAAGTCATAGACAGGCACCACGTTCTTACACTTCATGCTAAGCAGATGCTCCATCCCTTTGTTACTGAAAAAAAACAAAAAGGACAAGTTTTAGGTATGTTGTATAGAGAAATTTTTGTAGCATATTGAAAATGTAGTTTTTCCTTTTTGGAGTACATCACAAATGTCCTTCAACCTGAAAAATCTTCAAGAAAAAATGTACTTTGTAATGTTGGCACAAGACACTGTTCCGTAGTGACCTAGGGACCAGCCAATGAAATCACAGTATGTGGTGATGAATGCGGGCTTTTCAGCAAAGGAGCAGTCTAAGTCAAGACCCATCTAAGAGGCAAGTATGAAGGGTCTTTTTTTTTTTTTTTTTTTTTTTTTTTTTTTACAGGGGACCTCAACGTTAAGAAAAACAAAATAAATAATTCTTGTAAAAAAAAAAAATAAATAAATTAAATAATAATAAATATATATATAATTCGCATTCATGTAACTTCATCTCTTGAAAGCTCACTCCTGACCCACCTATACTCATCTTTGCTGAGCTCTCCAGCCACACCATTTCTGCATCTGAGATTGGAGTCAATCCTTTGTAAGCTTCATGTTGGATGGTGTTATGAGCTTACACAGGGCTGCTGATGTCACACTCCTTCCTCATGTGACAAAGTTACATGGCTGGGGATTGGCTGTTCAGCACCAAGCACAGATTCATAATAGGAGGTTATGTTGCAAGGTACAAATGGAGGAATGGAGTAGCAGGAGAATGTGATGAAGGTATGTACAAGTTGGTTGGAGGGGCATGCTTTTTAGGTGACTGTGCAAAGTCTCTATAAAGCTAAAATCCAGACAAATGGTTAAATACAAAAACTATATAGGAGCCCCTTTTTACCTGTCAGGATTTGTAATTTCTGTCTGTGTTTCCATTTCTGCAGTACAGCCCTGTCTGGCAGGACAGAAGACCTGATCTTTTTCTGCTACAGTAATGTGAAGCCCGGTACACACTGGGCAAAAACTGGGCAAGTTCAGCAGGAACCAACCAACTTTCAGTACACGTATAGTGGGGCAAAAAAGTATTTAGTCAGCCACCAATTGTGCAAGTTCTCCTACTTAAAAAGATGAGAGAGGCCTGTAATTGGTATCATAGGTAGACCTCAACTATGAGAGAGACAAAATGAGAAATAAAAATCCAGACAATCACATTGGCTGATTTGGAAAGAATTTATTTGCAAATTATGGTGGAAAATAAGTATTTGGTCACCTACAAACAAGCAAGATTTCTGGCTCTCACAGACCTGTACCTTCTTCTTTAAGAGGCTCCTCTGTCCTGCACTCATTACCTGTATCAATGGCACCTGTTTGAACTTGTTATCTGTATCAGACACCTGTCCACAACCTCAAACAGTAACACTCCAAACTCCACTATGGTGAAGACCAAAGAGCTGTCAATGCCAATTATAGGCCTCTCTCATATTTTTAAGTGGGAGAACTTGCACAATTGGTAGCTGACTAAATACTTTTTTGCCCCACTGTATATCGTTGTCTGTTTCAGAGAAGTCGGTCCAATGACTGGCTTCTGCATGCTGGAGAACCAGGATTCAATCAGCTTGCAGGAAAAATAGCCTCCCCACTGTCAGATTTTTTGCAGAGTCCGAACAATACCAGACCAAACCCTACCAATTCCACCTCTGTGACAAAGCCTGGTGGGCGGGGAAAAACACATCAGAGGGCATGGCCAGAATGGCAGCTGAGGCCATTCCTCAACATTGGACTCCCAGGGTCGGTTGAACAGCATGCATCCCTTCACTTGTATCAGAATGTCCTGTTAGCACAACTGACCGTCTCCTTGTTCTGCTTTCCCATTTACCCCTTTAAGCTCTGCTGAAGGCTCATTTAAAATCAAATACAGACAAATATTCTGTTGAGAATTGTCAAAGTTGGGAATAACCTCTCATTTCTTGTGTCTCCAAAACAGGAGAAGGGAAAAAAAAAAAAAAAAAACCCGATTGGGGATGTAACAGTTCCCTAATCTGTACAAAACTAAAGTTTTGGCTACACATACAGTTTGAACACTATTGTAAAACCAGATATCAACCAGAATAAAGGCTTTGATACAAGGTTCGAGCAGATTAGCACAACGTACAAAGACAAATGCGATGTTTGAGAGTCAACTAAAGAATTCACAAAACGCACGAACTAAGGGTTTATGCACACACTTGTGTCAACTTGCATGTGGGCAGACAATCCTGGATGCAGCGTTTGTATTTAGGGTTGTAAATCCATACGCATGCACAAGTTTATACAAAGCGCCAGCATAAACCCTGAAATGAATGTATGGAATCCTTACAAAGTACCTAAAACCAAAACAGTGTCTTTTTTTGTCAGCAGTCCTGAAAATCGTAGAAAATACATAATTTTGTCACTGAAGTGTCCCTATTGGAAGATTTCCCCTCTATTTCTGTATGAATGACAATTCTCACTTTAGGTTACATTCACATTTGAGAATATGCTCAACAGTATTTATAGCAGGGATTCCTAGCAATTAGCTACAGGAGGCAGCCCCACTGAAAGTAATTGGAGGCTGTCGGCTCTTGCAGCTAATCGCAGTCACTCACATGTAATCTCCATGTAGCAATCACCTGCAAGGGACTAGCCCTGGTTGCAGTCTGTGTCCAGGAACAATCAGTTGCATGCACGTGCTCTGTGAGTGATTATATGCTAGTGGCTGCGACTAGCTGCAGGAGTTGGCAGCCTCCCATTGCTTTCAATGAGGCTGCCTCCTGTAGCTAATCGCTGGGGACCGCCGCTAGAGTTATTGCATGTAAACGCTGTTAGGCCTATTCCCAGGTGTGAATGTGGCCTTAAAAAAATTTCCTATTACTTCCTGTAGTGTCTATGGGGCAGGAAGTACAGCCTAATCTACAGAATAAATTACAGGTAGGAAAAAAAAAAAAAAAAAAAAAAAAAAAAAAAACACACACACCACACATTCCCTATGCTACCCCCCGAAAAATAAATAAAAAGTTTGAGCTTTACTATTTAAACTTTAATTGGATAACCTCTATATTTAAGAAAGAAAAATATATAAGAAAGGGCTCATTCACAACAGAGTTGTGGTAACACATTATGTGCTGGTGCACAGCAGTGCCATTTATTGTGAATGGCACCCCAACAACTTCAAAATGCAAGTGTGCTACAATGCATGGTGTCCCATGCTTTGCGCCTCAGAAAAAAAAATGCAACCTGTTCAAATTTCAAACAATTCATTTTTGAATGAGCAGTTAATCGCAGCACTCTGCAATACCCAACAATACCTGCATCGCAATATACTTCATTGAAGTGTGAATGGGCCCAAAAGCATCACACAATCTTTAAAAAATGGTTCTAATCGATATATCTTGCAAAAGTGCCAGCTGCAGCTTCAGAGGGCTTATTGATACCCAGTGTGCTGAGCTCCATTGATCAACCATTGATCAACACAAGAACACAGAGAAAACAATTGTTCTCTATGTACCCTTCAAGCATGTTGGGTGTGTGTGTTGCAATGTGCTGTTGAGCATAGAGGATAATGAAGTGGGTTTTGAAAGCGGTATTAAAGCTAAAAGCAATAATGTAATATATTGCAGCTTAACAATTGTTAGATGCAGTGCCTGCATTAGTTATCTTTTAGGCTTGGTTTACACCTATGCATGTTGTGATTGATGAGTTTTACACTCTTTAAAGGACGGTTTTGTTGCATTTCGCTTTTTTTTTTTTTTTTTGCCAGTAGGAAAGTACTGAATGCAATTTTTTACAAAAGAAAAGGAAAGAAAATGCATTCTAAAAAAAAACAAACAAAAAAAAAAAAACACGAAACTTGCATTTTGGTGCAGTTCCATTGAAGTCAACAAAAACACAATCTGCTGTGGGAAAAAAAAAAAGTCTCTGACCTTTTCCAAAAACGCAGTGGCTGAAAATGCATAGATGTGAATGTGTCCTGTAGGAAACCACATTAAATGGATGGTAGTGCATGTCTGCAAAATGCACTAAAACTCATAATACCCTGACCCTTTTCAAAAATGCAGCAGCTGAAAATGCCTAGATGTGAATGTGCCCCATATGAAACCATGTTGAAATAGACTGTAGGGCATTTTGTAGAAACCCCCCCCCCCCCTGCAAAAAAAGTGTGAGTCAGGCCTTAGCCTTTTTTTATTTAAATTTTAAATCTCCAATAGCAACAAAACTCCACATAAAACACAGGTGCAAAATGCAACACGAAAACAGGTCAAACACAAACTGCATAGGTGTGAACCTAGCTTAAGATAGGAAGTTTCTTACTAGCCAGAGCACCAGGTGAAAATAAATGAAAATCCCTTGTGAATGGGGCCATGCAGGAGACCCAGCAGGGGTTCCCAGTGATTAGCTGCAGACAGAAGGCCCATTGAAAACAATGGGAGGCTGACAATTCCTGCAGCTAATCCCAGCCGCTTGGACACAGACTATTTTCCAAGGGCCACAGGGGTGAGAGGGCTGCACATGGCCATAATACTAGTTAGTTCTGCCTTCTACAAAGCCAATTAAATATACTGTGTTTGCCTATAGCAACCAAATTCCATCTTTTATAGCAAGTCAGACAATAACTGTCAAACAATTTTTTCTTTTTGTAAAGTGAAGAAGGGTTAGAATGTCGGAGTGATTATTACTACTGTCTATGTCTTCCTACTCCACAGACCCCTGTTCCCCTCATTTCCTGTGCTTGTGTCACAGGAACAAAAAAAAAAAAAAAAACCAAAAACTGAGCCATGTACAGAAACAAAACACTTCAAGAGCTCATTTACCCTAGCTTCTGCTATCACTTTTCAGAGGAAGCCTGATAGAACGCTTCCCTACCGCCTGTTTTAACCTCTAAAAACCTGGGGTGGTTGCAGCTCGACCCCCTTCACTTGAATGGGTCACGCTTGGCAAGTGGTACTTCTCACTGAAGGCAACTGGGGGGGGATCATTTTTGCATGCATACACCCCCATCTTTTGACTGAAACTTATGGGGAAGAGGTAAAAACACAGCTCAACTACATCTTTATACCTTTCAACCACTAGAAC